TGTCCCCAGTGGGGCTGGGATCCAGCCAACTTCCCCAGAAGGGTGGGTCCTGGTGTCCCCTGGCTGCCCCCTCTTTTCTGTCTCCATGCCTCAGTTTCCCTTTTGCAGCATGTCCAATTACACATGTGGACGTGGGTGAGCTTGGTCCCGGTGCTTGTGTGTCTGGGGATGCCCAGGGTTGGACAATGCCACTTGAGGTCATCCTACCCCTCAAAACAGCTGGTGGGGGCTCCCCTCTGCTCTCAGCAGCACCCCAGGGGAAACTGAGGCAGGGACAAGCAGGGATGGAGGAGAGGCAGTACCTGGAGGAGGAACTCCAACTGGGCACAGAGGCTGTGCAGCTCCCGGCTCCCGTCTGTCACCGGCAGGTTTTGCTCCCGGTAGCCACGATTCAGCTCAGTCACGGTCTCTGCAGGACGGCACGGCTGAGCTGGCACAGCCCTGCCTGGGCAGCGGGCACTGTGCCCCATCCCACATCCTCTCCCACTGCCTCCCGGCTCCCAACCTCGGGGATTTCTGCTGTCGTGTGAAAGAGGAACCTGCCCCGGGATGAAACGGGGGAGCAGAGGGAGCGAGGGGCGCAGGTACCCCCTAGGCAGTGCTGGTCCCCTAGGTTGGCAGTGAGGACAGAAGCAGGCAGCAGTGGCAGGTTTGGTGCTGGGGAGCCTTTCGGGAGGAGTATGGCACCCATGGCAGTGACCCACCATCTGGATACAAGGAGGGACCCAGCATGGCCAGGATGAGCCATGCCATGCAGGGGACACGCTGGCAGGGGATGGGCTGGCACACTTACTCTGCAAGTCCTTGATGACACGGTTGAGCTCCCCATCTGCTGCCATGGCTGTCCACTGAGGGTCTGCAAAGGCAGGGGCAGCAATGAGAGGGGACCAGCTGGCACTCACCTGGCACCCCCAAACTCTGCCCCAAGGAGAGGGTCTTCCTTCTCAGCTCCACCCCAGACCTGCCTGCTGTTAAGGTAAGAGAGGACGGGCTCAGGCCCTTCCTTGCCCTGCACGTGTCCCCCCAAATGGGGTATGAGGTAGGCAGATGTGCCCCATCCCATCCCCACTTAGCTGGCCATGTGCCCTGTCCCAAAATGCCCCTGGGCTCTGCCCCCATGCCATGTCCAGCTACTAGCCCATTCCTTGGGGGGCTGCTGGGGCTGAGTCCCCCCACCCTAGGGTGTCCCTATCCTTGTCTCTGTCTCCCAGGATTCAGGATGTGGGTTTGGCATGGAGGAAGCGCTGCCTTTGCTTCTACTCTCGCTTCCCTCACTCACACCACGAACAGTGCAGGGAGCTCCTAGGGGGAAGGGGGGTGCACAGCCCCTGACATGCAGCCCCCCCAAACCAAGCTCTCACCCTGGCAGAGCCCCCTGGCACAGCATGCTGCCTGTGGTGCTGGCGTGGGGTTTGGGGGTGTTGTGGGCACGGGGAGGGGGCTGGGGGGCACAGTGCAGCACAGATATTTTGAGGGGTGACGGGGGCACCCTGGGGACAGGGTGAGGGACATTGCCCATGGAATGGAGGTGGCAGGTCCTGGGCTTGTCACCGCAGGTGGTGGCTGGGCACAGGGCTAAGGGTGCACATGTGTGTGCATAGGGGTGTGTATGGCAGGGTCCTTGTGTGCTCACAGGACCGTGTGTGCCCAAGCATGCCCAAGTGTGCCCCAAGGGGTGTAAGTGCCCCATGCTCCCCACTGCAGCAGGGTGGCACAGCGGGCAGGGCAGGACATGGGACACCAGACGCCTGGGTTTCCGTCCCAGTGCCCTTGGGTGACCTTGGGTAAGCCATCTTCCTGCCTGCCCACCCTGCCCATGCCTCAGTTTCCCCAGGGAAGAGGAGCCCCTTACCTGTGGCCAGGGAGCTGTGGGATGCCCAGAGGTGCTTGCCAGGTGCTGGGGGGACGCTGGCATGTCCCCGCACCCACTCTGCGCCCGTGTGCTTCTCATTTTGTACCTTGGCCAGGAGGAAGTGTGGGAGGTTGCAGGGGCCGCAGGAGCCACCCTCCGCCCACTCCACACCACATCAGGCACTGTGGCTTGGTCCCCCAGCACCCAGCTCCCTGGTTCGGGGGATGCAAGTTTTGGGGAGGAGGTCAGTGAGGCTGGTCCCCCTGTGCAGCCCCTGTGGGGGGGCAGAAAGACAGTGCCAGGTCCGGGGGTGACTCTGATGCCTTCTGGTGGGAATGGGTCTCGGGAATTCTTTGAGGGACTCCCCTGCAGTTTTTGGGGCAGGGGTCTGGGATCCATACCCAGCCAGCAGCAGCCAACAGCACCCCTGGGGCAGCAGCAGCCCCTGGTGCGGAACTCCCTCTCCCATGCACAAACAGTACCCAGGGACAACAGCCCCTGGGGACAGACACCAGAGCCATAGTTCACCTCAGTAAGGCCCACAGCTCCCCATGGGCATCAGCCCCAGAGCTGGGGTGCAAACTCTTCGGGGGCACCCTGGGCAACCCCACTCCCCCAGCCCCCCTTTGCTATCTGTGCCTGGAGGGTCTCCAGCCCAGCAGCAC